CCAACATCCCCCTAAGCTCCCCCTATCGCCCCCTTACCACCCCCCCCCTTGCCAGAAGTTTCTCGGGGGGTTTGTACTCCGCAAGTGCAGTACAGCCACAGGGTTAGATTTTAAAAACGATCAGTGGATGGCTCTCTAATGACTGGTCAGAGACCACCAACCAGTTGGCTCGACCAGTAGGCTGCAAAACGGTCGGTGGTCGTCTGGGATGCAACCCTGAGTGTGTCGTGATCTGGACTGCACATCCCATGACTGTTATAGTCATCGCCAGGACTTGATTCCTCAACCTCATGCTGAGTAGCAGACATTACCTTTTCTGGGATCTCCTTGGCACCAGTACATTTTTCATTTTAACCCCTTGGACATTTTCTGCGGATGCCTGCTGGAGGGTATACTCACAATAGCACTTTCGGAAATGTATCTGAGTGGACTTACGCCCAGATCGGGATGTATCTGACTGTAATCACGTTCAGGCCTCAGTAGAACAGGTCCTTGTGTGAGTATACGCTTATACTGACCTATTTCAGGTGTACTTGAAGAGATCAGCCAGCTGTTAGGCTGCTCTCTGGCATGTGTATCATTCACAGAGGTTCATGTGATATGCTGTGCGGTACCCTCGTTTGGGCCGTGCATGTGAGTTTGGAATTCAGCTGCTGCTGGTTCTCTTGAATTGTCCATTCGGCATCCCAGTCCAGTTCAGGGTTGAATCTGAGCCAAGTGCATGTGTGTGGTCTCTCCAACTCCTACCCTGTGCGAGTTACGGTACATTTGGTTGTGAAATAAGTGACAAGTTCTTTATGTCCTAGTGTGCATGTAATATCTGCTGTCAGTGTCGTCACCCCCAATGCCTGGCGACACTCTGTTATCAGTCTTATTTCCTGAGGTTTCGAACTATACGAGTGAGTAAAGCTGCCCATGTACCCGTTTTGCTGTTTCTAAAACTCAACTGGATCAATTTCTGTTCGGAACTCAATTGTGCATGTAGGGGACATCTGTTGCTACCCCCATAGTGGCTGGCATGGCTGCCATTGTTCGACAATACTTTCGCCAAGGATATTACCCTTCAGGTTGGTAATGTCACTCTTTTTCTGTCCTTGACACGTAGGCACCTTACCTGTCCCTTTGTCCCCCTCCTTATTTCCCTGTCCTTCTTCTCCCTTTGCCCACTTTCTTGCTCATCATTCTCCCTGCCAACCACCGTTTGATTCTTCCTTTGTTTGTATCATGCTTGCAGCGCCCGTGCGCTGCACGTGCATGGGCAGTGCACTGGAGTACGCGGGCCTACCCCCGGTGCATGCGCAGGTGGATTTGCTTTTTTTTGTGTGTGTGTGTGTGAGTGCTGTTTGACCTTTATCTGGCCCACCTGCACAAGCAATTGGTCCCCTCACAAAAGAGGGCAGATACATTGCGAACCTTTCGATCCTGAGTCGCTGACCACATCGGAGAAGACCAAACGCCCTTTACCAACAGATACGATGGAATCTCGATGCAGGTAAGTTTAAAGAGCCCCGTTGTTGAGTCTTTTTTTTTTTCTTGAAAGCGCAACTGGCTTGAGATCCCGCGTTCATGGGTGCGCCATCTGGGCTAGGCCCATTGTGATTCTGACGGATTCAGGACACCCAAGGCAAAACTATTGGTGGTGTATCTTTCCATGTTCTAGCCAAAGATTCATTCTCATTTTGCACGTTCGGCGAGTGGCAGAGCGAGGCCCTTATCGGACAGATTCTGGTGGCAGGGCAGGTAAGACGAAATAGTCCCACAACGCACCCTAGTCATGACTGTATTGAAAAGACAAACATATGGTCGGTGTATCTTTCCACATTCTAACGCACGATACGTGCTCATTTTGCAAAAACCGCCCTCACCACCGTCTCATTCGCTCTCTCCTTTTTTTCCATAGCAAAAACATCAAGGAAAAACATCGTACAGACATGTCTGTGAGTTCTGTTGTTTCCTATTTCTGGCAATAAAGAGAACTGACGAACTGTTTGAGGGAATACTCACACTTGCCCTATTTTCAATGTATTTGACCACATTTATGGACAAACCTGGATGCATCTGATTGCAATTACATCCATAAGTAAAGAAGTCCTAGTGTGAGTATGTCCTGAGAGACACAGAAGCGTGTCCTCAACATGACTTTGTCAGACCTACGAGATCACACAAGAACTTGGGGCCGCTGCCGAGGGCGGGCCCGGATGGTTTTTTGGTCCTTTCCTAGGTTGTTTTTCCAGGCACTCGGGCAAACACTTCCTGCCCAAATATCTGCTCTGTCCCCCAGGCGGGGTTCCAGGCGTTCAGAGTGCCAACAAAGAAAAAAATGCTTCAACCGTTTTTGGGGTCCTGGCAGCCTCCTGCACGTCCACGCCGCCGCCAGGCCCTACCGGAAAGCTCTTTTCCTGCCAAAACCGGCCCAGGTGGTGTTGAAAGTGCGCTGAATCTGGGCCCTTCGATCTTTGCGATCGATGGCCCAGAATCGGGCTCTTTCTGTGCCCGTGCG